GGCACTCGGGCGCAAGTGCAGGATCCTCTACCTCCAGGCGATCAGGCATGGAGTGTGCAGGATGAACTACCTCAAGGCACTCGGGCTCCAGTGCATCCTCGTCTGTCTCCAGGTGATCGGGCTTGGAGCGGTCAAGAGGGAGTACCTCAGGGCGTTCGGGCTCCAGTGCAACAGTCATCCCTACTTTCTGGTGATCGTGTTCGTAGAGATCAAGGGGATTATGTATGGGGAGTCTTGGATGGGAGATCAGGCGGCGTTCGGTTTGATGTACCTGGCAAAGAAGGTGATGTAAGGGCGGGAGAACTACGAGATGTAGAACATGGATCCAACCCGCCGCCTTATCGGTATGGACTGCCGAAGAACGCCGAGAGCACAGCTGAACACCCATTCGGGGGACTTCTTCAGGGAGATGTTTGCGGGGCTTCTTCGTCTATGGCCACTCCGCAGGCTGCGCCTTCTCAGCCACTTTCTCGAGGTGAATATGGGCCTCGTGGATCTCGCAATAGAAGTGGGAGCAGGGAGCGGAATGGTGGAAACGTCGGAGCTTCAGCAAGCCAACCTAGGGGGAATACAACCCCCAAGACACCTCAGGCAGCCCCCACTACAGGGGGAAACCCCTTGGAGACCTTGGTTGCTGGGATTACGCAGATCCAGCAAGTTCTTCTTCGTGGCAAGGCTTCAGGTGAGACCTCAGAGTTTGACCCTTCCAAGGCTGTTTCGGAGTTCCCAAAGCTTGCCGAGAACACCCCAGAGAGCGGAGCCATAGATTTTCAAGATTGGCTTTATCTTGTGGAGCAGCAGGTTGGAAGTTTGGCAGCCGGAGCTTCAACGTGGTGGACAGGGATGCTGGAAGCAGCGATGCAAGCATACTCAGCGTACCAGGCGGCGACCCCTATCCAACGATTGACTGTTAAGGCTGAACTGCCGTTTGAGTGGGAGGACGAGAAGTACTCCAAGCTTGAGAAGCGTGTGGCGGCCTTGATGTTAGGTGCTCTACCTCAACAGATGAAGGAGGAGATGGTGTCGTATAGGGTGCGGCGAGTGCATCAGCAGCTATTCAGGCTGCTGATAAACTACCAGCCGGGCGGAAGTACTGACAGAGCGTTGGTCTTAGCTCAGTTAGAAGCTAAGGAGGTTTCAGCTGATCCCGGCGAGGTTGTGGCGGCGCTGAGGAAGTGGTTCAGGTGGCTACAGCGAGCTCGTGATCTTCAGCTGTCTTTACCGGACCCCTCAGTGCAGATAAGATCGCTGACGATTTTGGTGAAGCGCTTGGCGGAAAAGAACCCGGATCTCCAGTTTAAGATCTCTTTGGCCAAGACGGAGCTGCGTGTGGAAAGCAGACCGAGCCAGGAGACGGCGTTGAAGTTCTTTCAGCACTTGCTTGCAGAGATTGAGCAGATGGGGCCCTCGAGATCTATTAATCGGGGCAATAACACCGCCTCCGCAGCAGCAACCTCAACGACTCCGGCAGGGGATCCCAGAACTAAGAGTGCTCACGCTACGCCTACAAGGGAGATGCCAACATCACCGAAGGAGGGCAAGGGCGATGGAAAGGGAAACCCATGCAAGTGGTTTCTGAGCGAGCAAGGTTGTGGGCGAGGGCGTTCATGCAAGTTCCTTCACGACTGGACTCAAGTTGTTAAGGCCGAGAGATGTTTGGTTTGCGGGTCCAAGCTGCACAAAGTACGAGACTGTCCGCGCAAGGACCTGGAGCCAACCAACAATAGCCTAGCCCCAAAGGGACTCAACAAGAAGGAGTTGAAAGCCTTATCCTCGACCTCTACCCCTTCGACATCTACTACTTCGGCACCCACAACCACGGTGAGTCCGCCGCCCCCTCCATCGCAGCCCGTGGCGGCAATGACACCGGCAGCTAAGGCGGCAGCGGATCCGCCGCTGCCCGTGAGCAACGAATCCTTGCGGGAGGTGTTGGCTGAAACCACCAAGGTGCTAAAGGCGCTGGCACCAACCCCAGACACTGCATCCTCCCTTGATCGGGGCCAAGCGGCTGTACAAGATCCACTACAACTTCTTTCGCGACGATTGCAACGGATTCAGCTGGCCAAGGTTGAGGAGAAGGTTGCACTACTAGATTCTGGGGCGAGCCATGCATACCGCAACGCGAGGGACGCCGAAGAGAAGCAG